TTTTTACTTAAAAAAAATGCCCGTTCAATGGTGGCTGCAGTTTAGCTTATGAATAAACCAAAAAATCCCATCTTTTAAAATATTTTTCTCTTTATTTCTTACAACCCTATCCACATAAAATTTTCGAAATAGTCTAAACAGTGTTGTTTTTTGTTAAAATATTTTTTTTTCACTTCTTTTTGAAAAATTTTTTCCATTTTTCTCTTTTTCTTTTTTGCCTACTAAAAAGTGAGTATCAAGGGGTTATCCTAACTAACGATTATGATCGACATATTTTGGATAAACAAATCTCATGTGATGATACCTTTCCCCTTTCTAAATAATATACTCTCTTTTGATTGGCCTTTACCTTTTTGCAGATCTTCTGTTATCAAAGATCACGTGCAAATTTAACATGAATCATACTTTGTTGTCTTCAAACGTCTTCTATATGATATGATGGTAGCTATCACTTGGTTTTGTATTTTGTGTCAGCTCAAACGGATTTTAAATGGAACTATGAAGTCTATGCCATGGTACTTACCCAGTGTAAGTTTGCTTTGTATAGATCTATTCCTTCTTAGTAATCAGGTAGAGGGTATAGGTTACTATTTGTTGATATATCATAGGGACTAAGAGTTCAATAAAGATCAGTAGAAAAAAATCATGTGTATACGTGCATATGAAATTTTTTTTTTTGTGCAGTATCACAAAATTTATGTGTATTTTATTAAACTAATAATATGATTGTTTATTGTAAATTGAATTAATCACAAGAAATCATAAATTCTACCTTGCTAAAATCAGTAAATTTAGAATATGCAATTATTTTCCAATAATATGCATTATTTAGTAAATTATAACCTTCTAGATCAATAATTTAGGAATATGACATTAATTTATTAAAATATTATGGCATAAATATAGCTTATAAAAATTTGTATACTATTTTTTCAAATTACATAAACATCGCACCTAGTTTAAAAGCCAATTAATTCATTTTATTGTAATAATAATTGTTGTTGATCACCATATGGGTGATCAGCACCCTGTCATTATGATATATAATAAGTTGATTGCTACGTCAGCTGGGTCGGATGATTAATTATCAAATAAAATTATTACTAATAAAAAAAAAATACATTCTTTATTCAAGTAAAATAAATAAATAAATAAATAAATATAAAGAAGCATTCATTATTTCTCCTCCTTTCTATTTATTGACTTGAAGATTGGCAGAAGGATTAGATTTTTTTTTTTTTTACAATTTGATCCAGTGTTTTGGTGTTTTGAACGAAACTGACCTTGTGACATACAGATTGATAATGATTTGTTATTTCGGTCATTTCTGACATCGGGATTTAATAAAATCTTTCCTACATAACATGCCTTACCCGTTACTTTTTCACAAAGGTCACGATATCTTTGGAAATAAACGTCTTATTAATACTTTTCCCTTAATTGTGCTAAATTTACTAATTTAGAAATAAGCCATACCAGGAAAGTTTTATCTGAGTTTACAATTACCATGATGTGAAGTAATAAGGGGAGGAGGGCCAGAAATTACGTGATTAAAATTTTATAAATTTTGACCCCTGCCTGTCATCACATATTTTAAAGAAATATATAATTCACTTATATAAAATTTGTGGAACGCCATTATGAATTAAACCCCTTTTAAAATTACGTCCTACCCTAAAATAATCGCATAAGATGATAAAAAAAATTTTAAATTTGATCTTCACTTCACTTGCTTGATATTTCTCATCCTATATAATAGCTGTCTACTTCATTTTTCTTCAAACAAAAACCAAGAAAAAATGGCTTGAACGTTTCAAAATGTTCAAAGCTCAACTAAAGAAGATGGAAATAAAGAATTTAAATCGAATATTCAAAAAAATGAAGACAGACAAGATCGACTAGAAGACGTGATGGGCGACTACACAGTGTTTCCAAAATTAAGGTTTCGGTTTAGTTTCGGATATTTGAGTCGAAACTGAAAGTTCTCTAGGCGAAAATTTTTGGATTTGAGAAAATGGTTTCGCCCGAAACACTACTGACTAGAAGCTTGGTTCGGATGAATCAAGTGAACGATAAATTCAAAAAAAGTATCAATTATATATATTTTTTTGACCGATATAATACACTTGTAATAATTATATTTGGAATAATTTTATATTGTATTTGGGTTATTTTTAAATATTTTTTTGACCGAAATTATTCTTTTGTAATGCTTTTTTTGGAATAATTTTATATTGTATTTGGGTGATTTTTAAATATTTTTTTGACCGATATAATACTCTTGTAATGATTATTTTTGGAATAATTTTATATTGTCTTTGGGTTATTTTTAAATATTTTTTTTTGATAACAAAAAAGGTTTTTATATGATGTGATTATAGATAGGGTGATTATAGGCAGGTCTGACTGTAATTTACAAAAAATTTTAAAAAGGTTTATTTTTTTATAAAATGATTTAATAAAAATCTGGAAAATATATTGTGAACAATAAAATTATAATAAAAATAAGAATAATTTCCATTTATTCGTATCATAAATAATTAACCATTTGGTAATATTAGTGAATACATTCGCGTAAAGTGAATCAGATTCGCAAATAATTTATATCGATATATTATCATGTAAGTAATAATTGTTATGAAAATATACAGTTAAAATCGTTACAACTTGGATAATGGTAATTTGTATACTAACGTAAGGAATAAATTCAACATCTTGAAATTTTTTATACTTCTGCTTCCTTCGTCTGATTTTTTTATAAAAAAAAACTTAGTACCATATATATATAATTGTAATAGATATATATTAAAAATTTACCTTGTCAATTTCGACAAATCCTTTTAATCTCCTGTTTCATCAAAAAGCGTCATGAATAGTTATTTTTTCTGTTGCTGACCATACCTACCCAGCCAAAATGTAGCTTCACTAAGAGATTACCAAAAATTGCCCTCGTGATACTGCAAGAAATAAAATCTTTGCAATTTCAAAACTAAGCTATCTTTGACTCGGGATATCTTTCTAAAACACTAATCGCTGTCGATGCAAAAGATATATCGGATCATATTCAGGTTGCCGCTTCGATATTATCAGCAAGCCCATGTGCTTCGCGGTGTTGGCAACGTTTTCTTTTATAGATATCTTGAGAGTTCTCGCCCGACTGGCCTTTGCACGAATATTTGCAAAATGACTACTTAATTAATCTGAGCTTCTGGAAGATAAACGAAGGGCACTTCTTCTATAAAGTGATATATTATATTAAAATGCATGCTTTATCTATTCGAAACAAAAAATAATTTCTAATAAAGCGAATATATTTTACCTTACTTCTAGGATAGCTAATACCTTTAATCATTTTTTTAAACATTAATTTCACCAACCGAAGATTTTGGTGGTGCTCGATTCATATTCATCATAACATTTTAGGAATATCCTATATAAACTAAATTGCAATTTTTAAATTAGCTGATTTCTTCTTTAATTCTAACTATCGTTTACGATAAAATCATAACTTGGAAAACAATATTCTAAAAAAAAAATATTAATAATAATAATAATAATAAATATTTACTTCAATAGGATTGGCAGCTGTTAAAACTGATATGCGGAATTAAATATCGTGGTTATTCCGGCATTAGCAATGAATATGGTTTATTGTTCATTGCTTCGTGAATAGCTACTCGATATTCTTCACACACCATCATCTGCTAGTAACCGATTGCACTACCCATCTTGATCCATGTCAAAACTCCGAGTCCAAGGGAGCGCGTATATAAGAAATACGATTCCTTATACCTTGACTTTTTCTGTAATTTAAGTTATAATTTAAGCATATAGGTTTCAAAAAGATATAGAATGAATCATTACACCAATAAAACTTACTTTGTTGGAAATTTTGTTGAAATCATCATATTCCTACAATAATAACGCGACTCGCTGGAATAGCTCTATTAGCCAAATCTCTTTTCATAAATGGGTCGATGCTGCAATCTTTTGGACCAACTAAAAAAAAAAAATAAAAAAAAAATTTCAATAATATAATTTTAAATTACTTTTAGATAAAAAGTATATAAACCTATCAAACGTTCTAGGAAGCTGAGCGCCGAAAAACCACTAATGTCGACAAGTTGTACACAAGATTTGAACATGTGTTGCCTTTGAAGTAAAATTATTGAATGACGAAATTACTATTCCAGATATTTGAATAGTTTTAGAAAGTAATCCGCCTAAATAATGAGTTGTTAAAACATTTATATGTTCTTTAAAGTGAAAAAAAAAAAGATCCCTAATGAAATTCGAGCTTACGTTTAATTCAAGCATCGTGAGACTTGAAACGAGATATTTCAATATCACCTCAATCAAGAATTTATTTGCGAACTGTTTTGAACAGAACTTGATAAATTCAATGTTATAAGTTAATGATTTTCAAGAATTTAATAAAATAAATTAATGTATGTATTGTATGTATTTACCAAAGACATCAGGAGCTTCTTTCAATTTGCGATCAAGTTGTTCAATCAAGACATCAACTTATTAATTTCTCTTGCAAAGGTTTTTTTTTTAATTTTTCTCCAAGCATAAAAGTATTTTTAAATATATATTTTAAATTTTAAATATATAAAGTTTTAAAAAGTTATAGTTCAAGAGAATTGATTAAGTTTATAATAAACGGAGCAGAGTTTTCCAAAAGAAATATTATAGGAAATGATATAATAGAAAAGATTTGACAGAACTTTCTACTAGATTCGTGCATGTTAAAATATTTTAATTATAGTTAAAAAAAATTAAAAAAAGAAATAATTTATGAACGTGTAGAAAAGAAGGTATATCTTTGTTTTGCGAATAAAAAAAATTTCAGACGGGGGTGGTGAAAGTTTGAATAACATATATTTCCAAAATTTTTTCACGATCATTCAAATAAAACTTTATAAAAAAGAAAAAATTAAAAATCGTTAAAGAAATAATACTGTAAAAATAAAGTTGATAGTGATTTGAGAGGATTTTCACAATTCAAAGAATCTCGTAACGATTCTAGTACCAATTAAACTTCCCTTTGGTAATTGATTCATTGACTTGTACTCTTTTATGTCAAGCGTTTCTTCAGGATTTTCTAATAATTTTTTAAAAAAAACGGAAGAAAAAATAAATTAATTTTTGTTTTTTTTTTTTAATGGTTATAGAATCAGCAATGCAAAAATACTTACGTTGTTTCAACCACCAAGATATGATAAAAATTAAAATTAAAATAAATAAAATTGCGATGAGGTATTTTAACCAATTACGAGAAGGGGGGTGTTGCTGTCTATCGATGTTAACCCATTGCAAATCTTCTATGTCCTCTCGAAATTGTATATTGCTATCTCTTGCATCGATAGCTTCGGCGCTTCTGTATGAGACTCTGTCTGCCATATCTAATCGAGAGTTCTCAGCTTCTTCTAATGTCCTGAGAAGATTGGCATGTTGTTGTTCTATACTTCTTCTACGCGCCTTCATTTTTTCCCGATAAGCGATCCCTCGTTGGCGTGATTTTTCTTGGACCTTTTTTGATGGTCTTCTGGGCATTTTATAATTGCTGATAAAAGTTAGGATTAAAAATGGGAGTTGTTGTTTATCTTGAGGTGGTTTAAAAATGGTTTTTGTTGATTTTTTTTTTTTTAATAAAAAAAAAGTGAAGTCAATTTATATATAATATTTTCATCTGATAAAATAATTACACAAACTAAAAAAAAAAAATATTATCTCTTTATCTCGCAAGATTCTGTATAATCATGAGAAAAAAAAATTCAATTCGACTATCAGAGTCAAAATCTGATATCCCTAAAAAAAATTTTTCAAGAACAATAATACATCTAATAAAAAATCATCCCTTTCATTGAATGATACCTTATTTGTAAACAAACAAGCTTGCACTTGCCGTTTATAAATTAATGAAAAGAATGAAAAGTTGCAATCATGAGAAAATAACATTTGCGGCAAAGTCAAAGTTCCAGGACATTCTTTTTTCTTTACGATTCCATTCCGATTAGTAGTATGCATTGCACTATTTATTTTTTCATACATAAAAAAAAAAAGATTTAATCATTTGTATTACCTTATTAATAATTTATGAGTCAAAAAAAAAAGTTTCTTCTGTGATAACACGAGAAAATCTAAATTAGTATGTATCATGAATCAAGTAACCTTGCATTAACTTATTTTTTTTTTTAAAAAAAAGTTTGCTCATAATGAAAGAGTCAAAAGAAAAAGTTTCTTCTGAAATAACACGAGAAAATTTGTAATCATGAATCATGAGGAAACAAGCAAACTTGCATTAACCTATTCTATTCCGATTGAAGTATGCCACAACTTTATTTTTTAAAAAAAAAAAATTTGCCCACTTGTATAACCTTTACTCATAATTAACGAGTCAAAACAAAATTTTAGAAACAATCAATTTATAATGTCAGTCCCTTTCATTGATTAGTATTAGTAATATTTGTAATTTACTTACCGTTATATTATATTTTGAAAAAAATGTTCCAGGAATTTCATTTTGCGATTAATTAATTATGGAGTTATTTTTGGTTACACCCATAATAAATCACGTGATCTTGAATCTTATTTTTTACGAATTAGGTAACTTGTATAATTCATTTTATTTTCTATTTTTCTATTTCTGAAATAGTTTTCAATGAACTTCTATTTCTCGATCCTTAAGCTAATATTTACCCTAAATTTGGTGTATTAAAAATAACCACAGCTTTTGATTTGGCTGCAAGGCAGATATTAGCAAATATAATGTTAAAATTAATAAAATTAACAGAATCCATGTAAAAAATTTGATTGTCAAATTTTTAAATTTTATTTTTAGTCGATCACAATTAAAATCTCATCTCATGATATGTCTTTTTCTCCTCTCACTTTCAAAAATAAATTGCACAATTAATAATATTTTCAAACGTAAAACAAATGTCTTCTTCTTCTTCTTCTGCAAACGTACCTATGTCAAAAAGGCAAAGACGTTTCATAAAATTCAAAACTGAACTTAAAGAAAAATTCAATAAGAAAGTTGAAGAAATTAAAAGCCTTCCTGATGAAATTCAGGCAACTGAAAGGTCTACAAAACTTTTGGAGGAAAGATATGATCTTAAAAGCGATGATGTTGCTCAAAAAAATAAAATTCGTCAAGGCCTACAACAAACCTTCGATCAATTAAAAGAGGGTGCAAATAAAAAGATGGATTTATCTACATTCGTGGATGTATATTTTTATCATATAATGGTTACCATTATTGCTTTATATTTTTTATATTTGATTATTTGGCGGCTGTTTTTTTATTAAAAATTTATTATTTTTTTTTTTATTTTGAAAAAAATATACGAACGATTAAACATTATATAAATGTAGTTGTTATTTTAATTTTAAATTCATATAACGATTTGGAAAATTTAGGATAATTTTTTTTTAATAATATTCTAAAAAGCTTATTCCCTGTAATTCACGTAGTTGTTTTTATTAGTTTAATTTTGTGATCTGAAATAATTTCATTAAAAATAATGTTTTATTTGATTCTTATCATAAATAATTCATGTCAAGTAAGTCAGACACGAAAAATAATTTATTTTGGAAGATAAATTAATGAAATGACAGGAATGACAGGGTTTTCTGAATAGTTAAGTCCTTAAATGAGGTTATGTCGACTGAGATTTTTTTTTATAAAAATTACTTTCTGTCTTGACAAAACTCTTAATACGTTGCGAAGAATAAATATTTCTGTTTATTGGAGATAATTAAATAAAAAGACTTATTCGTTCTTCGGTTCTATCTCCATTGGTCCAATTTCTTCTTCAGCTACAAATGAAAAAAAAAATTAAAAAAATTGTAAAAGGGTTTTTTTTTTTTTTTTTTTTTTACAAGCATTATGTTTATGAAGTTTCAAAGACAATTATATTAAACATACCTTCTTGCAAGCTATTCATCGTCATCCAAAGCTCCTCTTTTCCCTGCGTAAGGATTGTAATCGAGGCTATCAAATCGGATACCTCAAAAATCGATTAATTGAATCTATTTTTTTTATTGATGCAAAAAGTTCGGCAATCAAATAGGAAGACATGAGGTGTAATTCAAACCGTTCGCAGTCACACCTTTATAGAATAATTCTCTATATTAATTAATTTTTGGGAATGATCGCGTAAATTTCAAAAAAACTCCTTACCTAATGATCCAACTCGAAAGTGGAAAAAAACAAAAGCGTGGAAAGATAAAAATATTAAATCGCGACGACCCAAAATATAAAAAAAATTTAACTAAAAACTAAATTAAAAAACACATACCAAAGCGAACGAGGATCCTAGTAAAATAAAAAGAATCTCGTAGATACATAAAAATAAGTACTGCATTGATTTTCGAACCCGCCCTTATCCATCCAGCCTTATCAATATTATCTGCGCTTGAAGGATATTATTTTAAAATTAAAAAAAATGAATATTTTAACAATTATTTTTTTTTTTTTTGGTATACATATGTGATCAACGCTGAATCGAGAAACGCGATTAATCGATTCTACAATCGATTTTACTTTTTTGAATTCATTCAATCTTTAAATGTCTTCTAATTTTCTTATCTCTAAAGCATCCGGTAACCCCAGTTATTAAAATGCTTTAAATTGCTCTAAAATACATCGAATGTCCTTGTTACCATTTTAACTATAAATTATCTTATAGAAATAGAAGGATTTCATGACTAATTATTGCTTTTGTGGATTTTCAGTAATTTATTTGCTTACGTTAAAGATGTATGGACTCTGGTAATATATTTGCAAATATCTAATGGATGATGATTTTTATATTCCTTGCAGTTTGCTATGGTTGTTTTTGATACACCAATTTTTTAGGACGTAATTTCGAAAATTGAAGTTACATTACAGAATTAGAAAATTAAGTTCAAAAAAATAAAGATTTCAAAGAATCACGTGATTATTATGTTGTGTAATAGTATAATTTCTGTTCAGTTTTCACTTTTATCATTTTTGTAGTGTTGCATTCAGTTCTTTAATGTTTATATTTATAAGCGAATGAAAATTAGCAGAAGGATTTTTAATTATGTAATAATGAAGCAATATTGTTTAATAAAAATTAAATATATCAGCACTGCCTCAACATCGGCGCTATTTACTCTTCGGAGTCATGTTGATCGATGCAAAAGACTACCATCAAAAAATATCACGAAATGGCCGACATTAAGGATCGGCAACATGTCATGATCATGCATATGGGCCTGCAAAAGGGCCGACGTGACATTTTTTGATGGGTGCGCAGGGGAAGTCGATGCAAAATCAAATCACTACGGCTCATTAAAAATATTAAAAATATCATTGGGAATTTTACTTTATATATATTAAAATTGAAAGGACAACCTTATCAGAGAAGATTTATATTTTTTTTAAAATTGCTTGATCCCATTAAAATTTGAATAGAATTTCTCAACCATAATTTTTTTAAATTCTCAATAGCCGTCTCTCTTTAAATCATGATGATACTCTATAGATTTTTCAATGTACTGCATAATTGGCTTGAGCTAGACGAGTCTAGGAACATTTTCTTATCGAAAGCGCCAGATATTTCACAGACTTTTTAAACTTCAGATAAACTCTTCTTTATTTGTTGAAAAGAAAAAAAAAAGCTCGTTTTTCATTTTGAGTAAACAAAAACCTTTAATAGGTTATTTTGTATATGACGAATTGGTCATGCGTTATGCTATTTCAGAACAACTGGATGATGTCTCATTGAAAAAAAAGGTCTACTTTGGGCGATAGTTTTAGAAGTTCCGGAAGTATGACTTTATGAGTAGATCCATTTTCGAAGTTGTATTTTGTTCGTAAATGGGACGTTATTTTATTATTTACTTGGAAGTAAATATATTCACTTGTCTGCTTTTGCCGTGATGATCGGTATGACCATGTATTTGAATTGGGTGCTCAATAATATACAACTATTATAACTATATAAAGATTATATTTTTGTATTTACCATTCTGTTTAAAGGAATCATTTCAAATAAAATATTACTAATTTTTTTGGTTTATTTAACTCAAATCATTAGAAATCCAATAATTCTAATTACAAGATACTAGCTAACGCTATTAAAAACAATTTAAAAATCCGAAACATTTGCTTTCCAATTAGTTCGATCAAATTGGCGAAACTAGTGACATCCGAAACACTAAACTTTCTCCATCATCATCTTGCAATCGAAGCAAAAAATTAAAAAAAGATATAATAATACTTTCGCAGATAACGCATACTCTCCGCCACTTTTTCAAATGACACTATTGCTGCAATCGTAAGTTTATTGATTATTTACTATTTATTTCAAATGATTTTGGCATTTCGACTTGAACTTTATAACAATAATTATATTATATTAAATAGGGCGTTCTATATATGTTCATGACGTGATTCAGGTTTTGAAATAATTCAATAAATTTAGTGAGGATGAAAGAAAAAATATATATTAGAATTACATATGAATTTAATTCATTCACAAGGTAAATAAATCATCGAATCATACGTTTATGAATTGCTTGATTACTCTGTAAAAAATTATCCAGGATTTATTTTAGATTACTTTGACACGTTTAAATTGTTTCTGAAAACAAATTTATTTTATAATCGTAAAGGTAACAAATGGGCATATCTTTCATGAAATTTTTTTTTTTGACTCGTAAATTTTTAATAAGGTAATACAAATAAATGATCAAATATTAAAAAAAAAAAAAAAAAATTGGAATGGAATCGTAAAGAAAAAAGAATGTCCTGGAACTTTGACTTTGTCTCAATTTTATTTGCAACTTTACATACTTTTTATTAATTTATAAATGGTAAGTGGCAAGTTTGCTTGTTTACAAATATTATGGAGGATTTATTTATAAATGTATTGTTATTGAAAAATTTTTTAGGGAATATCAGATATTGATTACGAGAGTCAAAATCTTGCGAGATAATTGTTTTGTAGTATGCATAAATATTTTATATAATGATAATAATTATATATACGGTAGGTATAAATAGGCCAATTTTTCATTACTTTTTTTTCAATACAAATTTTAATCCAACTGCGTCTTTTTAAACTGTGGATAAGTTTGAAATAGAACCAAAACAGCTTCGTGATTGGATTAATAATAAGGATAAGCTTATTAGCATAACCTCTTACATTCAAAAGTTCAATACAGGTGTGCATTCAAAATTTCCACACATTGAAGATGAGCTTATAAAATGGTTCACTGAAGCTAGAAGTCAATTAAAAAAAGTAACTTGATTTATGATTCAAATTAAAGCTCGTTTTTTGGCAAAAATAACATCATACCAATCAGAATATCCTGATGTAAGGAATGCTAAATTTACACAAAAATGGGTTGACAGTTTCATGTCTTGGCATAAATTATCAAATAAAAGAAAAACCACAATTGCATAATGTCTTCCTGAGGATTATGCAGAGAAACAATCAGAATTTTTATCTTATATCATGTATTTGGAAAAAGAGAACCAATATCCATTATCCCTTATTGGGAATATGGATGAAACACTAATGTCATTCAATCTTCTAAGTAATATAACTGTGAAATAATCTGGTTCTAAAACTGTATCAATTTTGTCTACTGGTTATGAAAGATCAAATTTTACTGTTGCGTTAGCTTGTTTGACTAACGGGACGAAGTTACCTCCAGTTATTTTATTATTTTCAAACTCAAAAAGATTTTCTGTGAAGACTTTCCTGAAGATGTAATCATTCATACAAATTAACAAGGATGGATGAACGAAGAAGAAATGATATGGTGGACTGAAAATATTTGGTCAAAACATTCACAAAAAGGTAGCAATCTAAGATCTCTCTTGGTATTAGATTCATTTTTCGCTCATAAAACTAAAGTTGTAAAGAAATGGCTTTGTGAAATAAAACTAACATAGCAATCATTTCGGGCGGACTAACTTCTAAATTACAACTACTTGATGTTTCCTTAAACAAATCTTTCAAAGTAAAGGTTAGAAATCAATATAAAAATTGGATGAGTAAAGCAATTAAAAAATACACTTTGTCAGGAAAAATCAAAAGACCTTCTTATTCTCTTGTAGCTACCTGATTAAAGAATAGTTGAGAAGCTATGAATATTAATATAATTCGATATTCTTTTAAGTATTTTGAAATTTCAAACGATGTAAATAGATCAGAAGATATTTTATTTTTTAACTTTGATCGATTAAATCAAGAAAACCTTAGAAAAGATATTAATTCATGATGACAATATTAATGATAGCAATAAAGAAAATAGTGATGACAATATAAGCAATGATAAAGAGAATGACAATGATTATTATTAAGAAAACAGAGCAATCTATTGTTCATGATTGGTCTTATTAATAATACAATCATATATAATAGAGATTTTTTTTCCTAATAATAAAAAATAATCTTTAGATTTAATTTGAATTAGTAATCAAAATCTTTAATTTGATTTTCATATGATAAGAATTTTATCTAAATTTTTAATTTATTAATTAATAATCTTATAGTAACATCATAATATTATACAAGGGTTAATCACAGGTGCGTCATGAGCATTTATTATCAAAATTATATATATTATCATAGGTGAGTCGTAGGTAGAATTAAAGATTACAAATAAGTAAAATTAATTTTAAGCTCAATAGTTAATTTATTACATTATTAATAAGTAATATTAATTTAATTATTAATTAATTAATTGAATTCATACATTATGTAAGTATAAAAAAATATTATTTAATAAATGCATTTCCTTTAAGATTTGATTTTCATATTTTTTTCAAAAAGAATTCAAATTTTTTGAAAAAAATTAAAATACTTTTAAATTTAAAAAATATTCAAATCATTTTTTAATTCTTTTTCAAAATGTCTATTTGAAATGACGATAAAGTAAGAATGTTAATTGACAAAAGAAAGGAAAATAATGCCTAATATCATGTACTTGGTGGTGGTACTTGTAAAAGAGCATGGTGGAATTTACTTGCAGGAAAAATCAATCAAAGGTTTAGAACTAATTTTTCAGAATGGCAGGTAAGCAAAAAATTTCACGAAATCGTAAAAGATTGCAAGGTAAATATATAAATTTATATAATATGTTACCATTATCTTTTCAATTATCAGTTAATTTGATATAGTTTTTAATAGAAAATAGAACAATTTCTTACTAATAATTCCAAAGGAAAACAAACTAGAAATGATACTATGTACCATGAGAAATTCAGAAGCCATTTTTGGACTAAACCAAATAAATAGTATTTATTTTCTTATTTTGAATTTTATCAATGAATTTAATTTAATTATATCAATATTTTTAATAATTTATAGATCCAGACGATAATAACATCAATAACTTCAACAGTAATAGCAGCAGCTATAACAAATTCAACAACAGTAGCAGCAGCTATAACAATAATTACAATAATAGCAGAAGCAGCAGCTTCTACAAATTCAAGAGTAGCAGCAGTAGCTACAACAATAATTCCAACAGCAGCAATAATTGCTACAATAATATCAACAGTAACAGTTGATACAAATAGTCAAATCACTTTTGTCTTTGGGTGATTTTAACAATGAAGGAGAAGAAGAAAAGGAAGTAGATACAAGCCAATCAAATTGTGAAACTAATCATGATAATGAGTGAAAGTAGGTTTATTGAGTTAAAAAATATTTACTATATTTAAACATATATATAATTTTAATTCTTTTATACTTTACTTTATAGTTATTAAATTACTTTTAGATTTGTAGGAAAGGAAGGAAGTTTTATATAATAATTACTTTTTGCAATTTGTAAAATTTTAAAATAGAGTCCATTGCTTTTATTATTTTTTTTTTGCTTATTAAATAAATTAATCAAAAATATTTATATTTTCTAAACGTATAAATTATGAAATTATTTGTTTTATACAATTAATATTAAGATTATATGTAAATTAATTTATTTATAATTGATAAAATATTTAGGTATAGATTAATTTACTTGATTTGAAAATTGATTGATACCTGGGTCTTACCTTAAGAGCATTATTTTGCAATAAATAAAATATCTGGATATATTATAATGGGGTATGATCAAAAGGGGATCTCTTAGACAGTGCTTTACAATACTAAGTTTTTTTAATAAAATTGAAGTTGCAATGGTAGTTATTACTAAATTTTCTTAGTAAACTAAAGCTGCAATAGCGTTATTACTAAGTTTTCTTAGTAAAATTGTGACTGCAGAGTTATTTTACTAAGTTTAATAATAAAGATTCACCTATTATTAAACTTACTTTATAAAACCTATCTTTGAATTTTTTTAGTAAAATTTTCTTAATTAAAACTTTATAATAATTTTGTTTTAATATATTATTATAAAAATTAAAAAATTTTTTATATTTGATTTGATTTGATTTAATCTGATTTAATTTGATTTGATTTGATTTGATTTGATTCAATTCGATCAAATATTTGATTTGATTTGATAAATATTTGATTCAATTTGATTCAATTTGATCAAATTCAAATCAATTCAAATTGATTTGATCAAATATTTGAGTTCGATTTTACAGTTCACATCAGTATTGGCACATGATCTTTTATGACTTATATGATCTTGATGACTAGTCATAAGTCATTCAGTCATTCTGAAAGGTATTATGACCTTATGACCTTATGACCTATAATCTTATATTAACGTATTATATAAAAAATACATATTTACTTATTTGTTATGTTTATGAATTCTGTAAATAATTTTAAATAATATTTTTATTTTATTTTGTTATTCTTTTATTAACATATATACTTTATTGAAATATATAATAAATGGCTTTATTTAATATCAGTAAATATATCATCTATACCTAAGTAAGTTGGTGATTCTAAATTAGAAATAAAAAGTGATTCCAATATTTATTTGGCCATATCATCATCAGCAAGATAAATGGTCTGTCCATCTAATTAAAATCTGTATCCCATTCTGAATAAAGCAAAGTTACATCATCATCATTGTCAACAAATTGATTTTCATGCTCCACATTATTAATCCATTTAGTTATAATTAAATCTCAACATTCTTCATTCTCTTTTGTTAGGGTTTCATTTCATTATCACTAGGATTTCCTTCTGTTTCTTTATCAGCTGGCATCTGATTATTATCACCATCTTCTTCATCAGCTGACACCTGATTTTTATTATTATCACTATTGTCTGATTCTTATTTTAGAGTAATTGGTATTGCTATATAAAGCTGATGAATTTTTTTTTCTCCATTTTGTACAAATTTAATATTTCAATTATAAAAAAAATATCCCCTCTAATTTGTGCTATTTCAAGAACTTTTTTTAGGCTCAATTTATGTATAAATATTCCATACTTGATCATAACTTTCAACTGATGCTAAATTCACATATATTCTATATATCTGAATTATAACTTTTGCCAATTCAGATTCTATACCACTGGTAAACTCCCAAAAAGTAACCAATTAGCCTTTAAAATAAGCAAATAAATCATGATATAGGGATCAAAACTTTTCATGTATTGCATAAATTCTGCTAAAATGGTTTGAGACTTAGGATCAATCCACTCCTTATAATAATATTTTAACTATTTTCCAAGATGTATCATAGACAAATTAGGTGTAAATATATGAAATCTAAAAACTTTATATAAAGGATAAAACATTATTGAAAGAATTAAAAGTGATTGCTCCCATTGTTTCTAATATTTTTCTATTCTTTCAACCATTTTTTCTGAAAAGTTTGAATCTGTATACTCATTAAAAATTTTGTTACATATGCAAAACAATGAATTACTTCATATAAGCTTACTGTATCTTTTTGAAGTTAATTTAAAAATCCATATAAATGATACAATAAATTTTGTAGTTCTATAAGCATTAACCAAAAATCATTATCATTAATTATATCTGTAATATCATCAGGTAATTTTCGTTTATTATTATTTTTTTCAAAATATTATTTGGTATTACATTTGGAATACTATTTGCATGAATCACATTTGATCAGTATTTATTGAATTGTGCAGAAATAAACTAGTAAAAAAAATTATTAATTAATTAAACTTAAACTAATCTTACAAAAATAATAATTTTAAAAAAATTATCTTTAATGCAACCTTAGATTTTAAAATAAAATGAAAACAAAAATAGTAGCTATTCCATCTAGTATTTCCAGTTGATAGCAAAGATACAAAAGATACAGTTTTATTATAAATTTGAGTTTGTTCATCTTTTAAATTTCTGATAAATTATGGAAATTTATAAAAGTAACTAATTATTCACACAGCTTTAGTAGAAGTATGTTTATAATAGGCATTATCTTTATAAATATCATTAAATACAAGGTTTATTTGATGTTTCAAGCATGGAAGAAATACTTTGTTAGGATAATCCCTTCTTAATTGATTTCTAAATATTGATTTTTATTAAAACAAATAATTTTCAAAGAAAAATCAAATAATTTTTAAAAATTACCGTGTTGCTGTATATTCTCCACAGAATCAAATATGAAAGCTTTTATATTTATTTCTTCATTATTTGTTTTAATCATCAAATTTTAATATGTTGAATTACGTTTTCAGTTCGAGAAGATTCTTCACTAATATCACGAACATCCTAAATAGATTGACTTTATGATATTAATAAAATAACTCTCCAAATATGTTTTACCTTAATATTAATCATCTATTAAATGTTACAGTAATATTATCAATATCTTTTTTTGCAATATCTGTAATATTTTTTTTAAAGTATTAGCACATTTATTTAAAATTCTACCACTAATTGCTTTACAATTTGCAAATTGAAACCCAGCAAAATAAAATTAAAGACAGCTTATATATCTTCATTTTCCAAAAAAGTAATTGGTAGGCCATTAGATATGATCATACAAAGAAGTAGGAATTCAAATGTTGGTTTATTATTAATTGACATTGGTCAAGCACAAAAAAATGTGATGGATGAATGATGATATTGTTGAAGTTGAGCATTTTGATCTTTTTGGTTGATTTTGTAAATTAAAATCTTACTCTCTTTCCTCCTCTTTTTCTTCTTTATCAGATGTATCTAAAAAAATTACATTAATAATAAATTAGTAATAATAGTTAATAAAAAAATATATTGTCTATTAAAATTTACCTTCATTGTAATTTTACTTTTCTTATATAATAGGACAGGAGAAAAGCTCAGTAATTTCCTCTTTAATATATGAAATTTTAAAGTTTTCACAGTTTATAAAGTAATTTTAACAAAGTCTTGCTTTATTAGAAGTAAAATACCCAGGTGTTACCTTCGCAATGGCTAAACTTCTAACATATTAGCTACAAATAATATATACAGCTTTTGCATTCAATTTATTATTTTTTACTAAAGTAAAAAATTTCCAGAAATTGTGACTTTTTTTTTTGTTAGTTATAGTTTTATAAACTAAATAAAGGATTTTTGAAAGTTTTTATTAAAATTTATTAAAATTAAAAAATTGTTAAATTTATTTAAAAAAAAGATTATTACTATTTAACGAAAAGATGTTATTGAGTGAAAAATTGGTGGTAATCATTACTAAATTTACTAACTTTTTCGCTTAATTTGGATGTGTGTCATACAGATCGACATGAATTAATTAATAAATATTTCGAATTAGGGAATTTGTGACACAAACAATTTATCTGCGTTGTATAATATATATATATCATATTCAATATGCATATATATACGAGATATATATATGATATACTAGTATATCGTATTCATATATTTCGCAATTGCAATAAGCTTATAGCTTCTTTGAATTCATTAGAATAAAATCTTGAAAGAAATTCTCCTGTGGCACTTTCAAGTCATGTTAAATTTAATGATCACAAAGTAGTTTTTTTCAAGAAATTTAATTTTGTAAATCAAAAAAAAAAACCAAAATAATTTCTTTAGATGATCCTTCATTTTGCATTACATTTTGTTGTGTTACATTTTTATAGATGTTGTATTACAGAAAAAAAAATTTTCAAAAAAATTTTTTTCAATTTCAATTTTATTTTTATTTTTTTAATTACTATTTTATCGTTTTTTTTTGTAAAATATATAAAAAATTATATTAATACATTCCAAAATTAAAACAAAGTTGTTCAGTAGGTATCGAAATGATTGTGTGTCAAATTTCATTAGTATTCAATAAATATTCACGAAACTATCATTTTTTTTTCATAAATACACTAATTTTTTTTTATTATTTATTTTATTTAATTTTTATTGGAAGGTAGATTCTGGTACTTTGGTCGAATGAAGCAGGCTTTTTGAGATTAAACAAAGTTGTTCAGTAGGTATTGATATGTTTGTGTGTCAAATTTCATTAGTATTAATAAATATTCACGAAACAATCATTTTTTTCATAAATACACTAATTTCTTTTTATTCTTTATTTTATTTAATTTTTTCTTTCAAGGTAAATTCTGGTACTTTGGTCGAATTAAGCAGCCTTTTCGAGATTAAACAAAGTTGTTCAGTAGGTATTAAAATGATTGTGTGTCAAATTTTATTAGTATTCAATAAATATTCACGAAATTATCAATTTTTTTCATAAATACACTAATTTCTTTTTATTTTTTATTTTATTTAATTTTTTCTTTCAAGGTAAATTCTGGTACTTTGGTCGAATTAAGCAGCCTTTCCGAGATTAAACAAAGTTGTTCAGTAGGTATCAAAATAATTGTGTGTCAAATTTTATTAGTATTCAATAAATATTTACGAAACAATCAATTTTTTTCATAAATACATTAATTTCTTTTATTTTTTATTTTATTTAATTTTTTCTTTCAAGGTGAATTCTGGTACTTTGGTCGAATGAAACAGCCTTTCTGAGATTAAACAAGAACGTTCAGTAAATTTTAAAATGATTATATATCAAATTTCATTAATATTGAATAAATATTAACGAATCTATTAATTTATTCATATATAAGTATATTAATTAATTTTTATTTTTTATTTTTTCTTTTTAAATTAAATATATAGGTATAATTCAGCGAGATAAAACTGATTTTATATTTATATTTTCTCTTTTAATAAAATTTGCAGTAAGATAAAACTGTAATTTTGTATTTAATTTCTTATATTTTTTTTTCAACAATTTATTTATATAGATATTATTCAGCGA